ACTATATTCCAACTGTGGCAGAGCATTCCCCTCACAGGGCATGGCTGTACACACAGCAACAGAGCAGCCAAGGGAGGAACATCCTTTGTGATACCAAGTTAAGCAGCTGTGGCCATCCCAAACCCCTGCAGCCAACTTGAGACTCACTGCTCATTCCAGGTGAAGTCCATACCACTTTGGTAAATGTAGCATCACCCTTTCCTCTCCTGTTGCCTGCACTAGTCACAAATCCTTTTCTCAGCACCCTTGAAGGACAGTCCTATTTGCCAGAGGTCCTACCCAGATGATCTGGGTGTCTGCACAGAGTCCAGGGCTCTCCCTTCGTCAGGCAAAGCACTGAGCCGGGTAGTTACTCCCCCCCAAAAAAAACTGGAAAGGCTTCGTTATCACCAGAATTGCAGCCAACAAGTTAATAGATAAAAGCAGTTTGGGAAGTTCAGCTGACTGAGGCTCACTGCCCGGCACACAGGGCCCTGCTAACTGCTTCTGAAAAGTATTTTGAGGGGGAAGGAAGCTGCAAGACATGATATGCCTTGGCTGTGCATCTTCAGAGAAGATTTTAGTCACTGCAGAAAGATGTGGAGGCCTGCATAGAGATAAGTCTCTCATGTGCCTCAGTAAGTCTCTGCTATGGAAATTTTATGAACTATTAGTAGTTCTTTAATGATCCTGAAAAATGTCTCATTTTCACTTAGTTCTGGGACTAGTGAGCCGTGGTGGAGAAATCTTTGAGGATACTCAGCCTCGGATGCTGCATCGCAGTATTTCTGTGTGGCAGGGCTGAGTCAGAAGGGTGGATTTATTGGTTCTGCACGAAAAAGGTCACAGGCAGGGGTTGCTGCGCATGGGCAATGAAATCTGATTTCTGCCATCCTGCTGGGCTCCAAGAGTGTTTAACCCTGAAACTGTGGTCACTTTTCTCCATCCCCTGCTACAGGCAGACTTTTTAAATGTATTTAATTAATTTTGAGGTTTAAATGTTACAGTCAACAGCCAGGTTTGGGGATTTATCAGTAGGCTTCACCATTATTCAGATGCTTGCAAAAGAAGAGAGCAAAAGGTAATTAAATACACCAGCAGCTGTTGCCAGAGGTTGTGTCATTTGAAGGTTGCGTTGAGGGACACTTCCAAAAAGCCTCAGCTGGCCCCTGGCCACAGGTTTCTATCCAGGCTAGTGTGATCAGAGACCCTGCCCTTCGACCGAATCACCATTGGTGAATCTGGAAGTGGCTGGGTGAAATCTGCTTTGCGGAGTTCAGACTAAGCTCTCCTGCACAGCTTGAGATGGGATATGTATAATTTAAAACCCCTTTTTAAAGACCCAGAATGAGGAATGCAGCAAATTCAGGCTTGAAAACTCAAAAAGCTTCTTGAGCCAGCTTTTGACCTTACCTGTCCACTCCTGCGTGATACCTCTTTTGTGATATTTCTTGGATGATGTGTCTTTCCAATGGAAAGCAGCAGTGTGACTTGGAGCAGCGTGAAGAGCTGCCTGAACAGGTCCCACCAGCTCTGTGGTACGTTTGCTGTAAATTAGAGCAGCAAAACCTTGGGAAGAGAACCGGTGCTATTGAGCCCTTCCTTTCAGGTATGCTTAATGTGCAAGTATTGAGAGCATGCTGGGCATTGTAAGTCTCTTCTTCAGCATTTTCCCCCAGAATGGCTTGTGAGCAGGTGAAACAGCATATTGTTTTAATAGCTATTGCGCTGATTTTTTAGGACTGCATGGTGGTATTCTGCTTGGGATCAGAAGCCAGCAGCATAGTTTTGTGACTTTGGGTTTTTTTTGACTTTTCATCCATACAAAGTTGTGATTAATTGAAAGGTCTGTGAGAATGGATTCCTTCTGCATGAGTTACAGGCAGTTATTAGTGTCCTACAAATCTTTTATTCTGTTTAGCAGTGCTTAAAGTGTGGCATTTCCACAGAATGGGTTGGGTTAGAAGAAACCTCAAAGCTCATCTAGTTCCAACCCCTTGCCGTGGCCAGGGGACAGCTTGCCTCACCATGGGCGGTACCACGAGTTGCAGGGTAATCTTTGCTCCAGCACCTGGAGCATCTCTTCCTCTTCTTCTTCACTGACCTTAGGGTCTGCAGGGCTGTTCTTGTCACATGTTCTCACTCCTCTCTGCAGCTGAATTTGCTCCTGCTCAGTAACTTTTTACCCTTTTAAAATACGTTATCCCAGAGGCATTGCCACAGTCACTGGTGGGCTCAGCCTTGGTCAGAGGTGGGTCCATCTTGGAGCCGGCTGGCGTTGGCTCTGTTGGACATGGGGGAAGCTTCTGGCAGCTTCTGACAGAAGCCATCCCTGTAGCCCCCGTGCTGTCAAAACCTCACCACACAAACCAAACACAGGTGTCTTGGGGAGAGCTTTTCCCTTCAAAAGCCTCTTGCCTAGAAAACATTCCTGCAGCTCTGGAGCTCACGAGACATCCCAAGTTAGAGCTAGGTAGCAGGGAAACCATGCTGTATCTTTACATGCAGCCCTCAGCTTGAGACTTCCTCTTCGTGGAAGACCTTCCTGTTGCAGGACAGTAATTTTATGCAAGAAGTTACTCGTAAGCAGGGCTGAGATGATGACCAAGATGCTTTGCGAAGTGCCAGTGTGGGACCCCTGGGGCACAGGGCTGGCCAACTGCATCATCATTCTTGTTAATGGATTGAACCCATTGCCCTCAAACGAGGAAGAGTTGGCACTTAACTAGTGCCACTTAACAGCTCAGAGATTAATGGAGACAGCACTCGGATGCTCTGACGCAACCTAACCTTCCTTCTTTAAAATCCATATGTTTCCCAAGTGCTTTAGGAAAAAAAGGGGGAATGTTAAATAACTCTGATCAAGGTGTTTTTAAAAACATCAGCCAAAGTACTCAGTTGTCCTTTAACTTCAAGAGGGGTCCTCTTCAGCTTTAGATTTCACTAGTCCTTGGAACCAAGTTGTTCTGGGCCATGGATGGGTGGCTTTGCTGTTTTATGGCCAAAATCCATATGTCATCCCCCAGCATCTCTTCTAGGGAACCCAGAGGACATTTTTTAGGCAAGATACTGCTAAAGATGATAGGTTATTTACTCCAGGTCAGAGATCCCAACCCTCCCGGGAAAAGCTCACAAAGAAGGAAGTGGACATGTGCACAGTGGGCTTGGGTTTTTACTTGGCTTCAGGTTCAAGCTGCATCTGAGTGAATTTGAGATCCCCTCGGGATGTTTTTCATAGAATCATAGAATAGTTAGGGTTGGAAAGGACCTTAAGATCATCTAGTTCCAACCCCCCTGCCATGAGCAGGAACACCTCACCCTAAACTATGGCACCAGTTTTAGTTGAGAATGGTGCTCTGCTGCGATGTCACAGGGGCTTTGCAAGTACTTTGAAGTAAATTTGCCCAGGTGTTCCCCAGTTTGAGGTTCTCTGTGGGTTTTCAATTTCTTCCCAGCTTCAGGTGGAGTGAGGGGCAGGAGAACATCACAGAACCACGGAATGGTTTGGGCTGGAAGGGACCTTAAAACTCACAGACTGGAACACCTCCTACTAGACCAGGTTGTTCCAAGCCCTGTCCAACCTGGTCTTGAACACTGCCAGGGATGGGGCAGCCACAGCTTCTCTGGGCAACCTGTGCCAGGGCCTCACCACCCTCACAGGGAAGAACTTCTTCGTAATATTTAACCTAGATCTCCCCTCTTGTCAGTTTAAAGACATACACTCTTGTCTGTGTCCTCCTTACATTGGAGGCCCTCAGAGCTAGACACAGCACTGCAAGGTGGGGTCTCACTAGAGCAGAGCAGAGAAGGAGAATCTCCTCCCTTGACCTGCTGGTCATGCTAAGGACATCTCAGGTCTGGGTTTCAGGTGTCTTTTTGGTACTTTAAATTAATATAATTCTTCTCTAGGAAGTTGGATGGGGACTTGCCTGGAACTGTGGTGTTTAAGCCACTCAGAAGCAATTGTAGCTTGCATTCAGGAAATAATTAGGGCTATCTTAAACAAATCTGTCAAAGCAGCAATGGGTAAATTGCTGCAGCAGTGAATGGGCAGGAAGGGGTTACCAGCTGTACCCGGTCACTCCTTGCACAAGAGATGCTGCCTGTTCGGTTCCTGGAGAGCCATTTGCAAGCACGGCAGTTTCCAGGAACTGGCTGGAGGGATGAGATTAGAGGAAAGAGGGGTTGCTTTTCTTGATGGAGAGCCATGTCCTGTCTGTCCTTCTGTCCCTGCTCACCAGATGCACTGACAATGATGCCATGATGCTGAATTCCTCCTCCCTCCCTTGATGACTAATGTCTGCATCTGTGAGTAATTAGATAAGGTGAGGGCGAAGGCTGCTGTCCTGGACTTGTCCTGCCGCAGGATGCTGCTGCAGGAAAGGCAGCCTAGGTCAGTGTGGCTGAGCTCACCCTGGGCATGGATGCTGTGGGATCTCATTAAGAGAGGAAGGAGAGGGAAGAGGCTGTTGGAGAACTAAGGTGTTCGGAGCCATCCTTTTCAATGAGGAAATTAGATTGCGGCTGCAGAGCCCACTTGTCTATCTGAAGTGGAGCTGAGCTCATTTCTAGGAGCCTTTGGACAGAGCTTGTTGGGGTTTAGAGCCCTTCAGTTCCTGGTAATGATGCCTGCAGCTGCGCCGCCTCCTCTCGAGAGCCTGTCTTTGGGTTTTGTTGTACCCAGGGTACTCTGAACTCACGTTTCACAGGTGTTCCCATGTTGATTCCTCTCTCGCTAACAGCTCACAACCTTTCTCAGGACAAAGGATGGGATGAATGATTCAGGGCAGCTAAAACAGCTGTGTTCCTGTGTTTCATCCCTTAAAAACACCATAATTAGTCCAAACACTAACAAGTAAACACCCCTGCTCCAGCACAGGGAGGCCTAGTGCCAACTCTTCGGAGAGGCCAAGCACCTTTCGGCACCATCCCTCCATGGAAGTGACATTCCTGCCAGGTCCTGGCTTCCCCAGCTTGTTTGCATCGTACTGAATTAAACCTCTTTGTGGCTCTCCTCACAGGTGTTGGCACAAGGAACTACTACAGGAAGATTGGCTATGAGCTGGAAGGGCCTTACATGGTGAAAAAGCTGGACTGATGCCCCAGGAGGTCCTCACCCTGACCAGCTGCTGGGAGGAGAGGTGAGGAGACAAGACTCATCATGCAGAGGCAGCTCAAGAGGACAGACGTAAGCTAAAAACCAAAGCCTGCCAACTGCAAAGGACTTGCTTATGCCAGAGCCCCCAGCAGCAAATGGGACATCTCTTCTTGGGTGATCAGTTCTGAGCTCTGCCCATTGCCCCAGGAGAGGCTGGGAGTGTTCCATTTGTGTCATTACATGTGTAAGCCTGCCATACCTCTGGGAAAGCTCTGAGGCCTTTCAGCAGAGGACTGAACGTAGGTGAACTGAGAGCTCTGAATGGGGGACACTATTGAACAGCCTAGTGGAGAAAACATCTGTTACTTCTGTGATGCTGTCAGCAGGTTTTTAATGATTCAGCACTGAAACCGTGTGGGCTATTCTGCAACATGAATTAATTCTTTCTCTGTGTGTATTCATTTATGCTGGGCTTGGCTGCTTTCTGTCCATCCCAAGGGATGCCATTTGATCATCTTGCAGTAGGAGACTGTGAGGATCAGAAGCCACTTTGGTGTCTGTAGGAACTGAGATTAAAACTTAAACTGACTCTCTGTGGTGACACACAGCCATGGAGTAACTGAGGTTGTAAGGGACCTCCTGTCTCTAGTCCAACCCTAGAGCAGGTCCAGTTAGATCAGAGTGGCAATGCTTGAGTATCTCCAGCGATGGAGATACTCAGTGGGTGTGGATGGAGAGTCCACAGCATCTAGGTCCCTGTTCCAATATTTGACCACCACCCATATGTTGAAGAAGTTTTTCCTGATTGGAATTTACAGTGTTTCAGCTTGTCTGTTGTCTCTCAGCCTGTTGCTGTGAGCTTCTGGGAAGTCTGATTCTGGTCTCCAAGCTTCTCCCTGCACATCATGTACTCCAATGCCACAACCATGCTGGTGGTTTCCACTTCATTTTGTTAGTCTGTATTTCCAGATCCAGATCCACCCCTTCTCCAGCCCATAGCCCATTGATTTGGGTATGAGGATGCCATGTGGCATCAGTGTCAGAAGCTTTGGAGATGTCACAGTGCACAACATCATCATCTCATCACAGCAGGCAGCAGGGTTGCTCAGCCATGATCAGTCCATGGGGGATCCCTCCTGGCTGTTCCCAGCTCTCTCCTCCCCTCTCCATCCCACAACAGGAAAGGGCCTTTGGGAGCATTTGGCCCCAGCTCTCCCAGCGAAGAGGTGGGGTTCACTGCCTTGTAGCTTCTCAGATCCTGGTTCTCCTTGAAGATGGTTGCCTGTTCCAGACATCAGGAATGACAGAATTAAAGCTTATTTTTGCAGACAGAGTGAGGTTGGTTGTCAGAGTGAGCTGTGACCCTGAATGAAGAGCTCAGCACTTTGCATCCCTCTCCCCAGCCCTTTGGTGGGGTGGGGACGTCCAGGACATGTCCTTTGACACTCGTGATTCAGGCTTTCCCAAAGCAGCGGGCCTGGGGCTGCCTGCTTGATGTAACAACAACAGAAGCCCTGACCTCATCCACTTCTTTTATTGTCTTTCAATCAAAACCAGCGTAGCGGCTTGCAGAGCAAGTTGACATTTTGGGTGCTGCTCTAATAAATGACTCTGTCAGGAGCCTTCTGGAAACTTCTGCAGTCCGGAGTGCTCAGACACACGTGATTAACCCAGAGGAGGAGCGGCTCAGGGAGGAAAGCTGTCATGGCAGCGGTGCCACGCAGGGAATGCGATTCTGCCGCTGTGATCTGTTGCTGCTCCTGCCCCGCAGCTTGCAGGGTCAGCGGCCAGAGCCGTGCTGACGGCTGCTGACGCACAAGCGGCGCACGTATGGGAAAGGAGAGTCCAAATACCTGGTAATAAATGTGTTATTATTGAAGGTGAACACCAGTGTCCTGGTTAAGGGCCGGGGAGTGACAAACCACAGAGCAGCGTGCTGGTACCGAGCTGAGTGTGTTTGAGCCTCCTGCCCTCTGCGGAGGTTTGATTTAAAGAAGGGAGATGGAAGCTCATGCTTCTTGATTTGTTGAGCTGTTTTTTTTCCATCCTCCAAGACACTGGTAAATGGGGCGCATTACGCTTCTGACATGGCACGAAGAGAGGAGATGGACAGGGACATGGGGAGAGGAGATGCAATTTCTGTGCAGAATCCTTGAGATTTTCCACAAAATTTGTTGTACTGGTGCCACTGACATAATTATGAATCACTCTGACGCTTCCAGCTCTGACAGCCAGGTTTTTTTCCAGGTACTGGCCAGAAATGCTTACCATTTCCGTGCGTCTGAAAGCGTGCCCCTCCGGCAAATCTGGGATGGACCGGATACGTTTATTTCTTGGTTTTTAAGGCGAATGTGTTTTGAGTGTGTGAGCAGCTTTATCAAGAAATAAAGCAATTTTGGGGGGTGTTGTATTTGTAGCTTCCCATTAGTGTGTTCTTTCTGGGGTGATTTCATGCTGCACTTGCTCAGCTGCTGTGAAACTCTCTGGGCTTGTCTGCACAGGCTCGGGTCTGTTTTGAAGTGTGATGTATTGATTTGTCCGTTTGATATAAATGCAGCCAAATGAATAGCTGGTTTGTACTTCTCTCCAAGCCCCAGTGCTTCTGCCAGGGACAGGGAGTTCCTCCAATGCATGTTCCTGGCACATGTCCTGTCAGGATGAGATCTCAGGCCATGGCTCTTCCCGTCCGTGGCACAAGGAAACCTCATGTGGCAGCCCTTTGAGTGGCTGCCCGAGTTTAAAAATACCATGGATGTGTTACTCACTTATGGAGGGCAGGGAGAGGGACATCTGAGCAGGTGAGTGTGGATTTTCCAGAGGCTTTACTGTGGTTTATAGGGTCTGCGGTCACCAGTTCAGGCAGGATCATTTTCTGCAGTTCATTCTGCTGCTGCCTGTGATTTGGATGCCAGGAGGGAAAAGCAAAAACCATGGTTCCCTCTAAAGCTGTCCTGAAGGGTTTCATGCTTTCTTGTGTTTGAAGAACAGTGGGCAGGAACATTTAAAAAGCCACCAAGTCTGGTAAGATTTCAGACATCTTTAGCTGCCAAAACCTGGGAGGCACAAATACCTTATGGGAGGAGAGGGACTGTGCAGGTCATAGAATTACAGAATGGTTTCGGTTGGAAGGAACCTTAAAGCTCATCCAGTTCCAACCCCTGCCACAGGCAGGGACACCTTCCACTAGACCAGGTTGCTCCAAGCCCCGTCCAGCCTGGCCTTGAACACTGCCAGGGATGGGGCAGCCACAGCTTCTCTGGGCAACCTGGGCCAGGGCCTCAGCACCCTCACAGGGAACAACTTCTGCCTAAGATCTCATCTCAATCTCCCCTCTGTCAGTTTAAAGCCATTCCCCCTTGTCCTGTCCCTACAGGCCCTTGTCCAAAGCCCCTCTCCAGCTTTCTTGTCAGCCCCTTTAGGCACTGGAAGTTGCTCTAAGGTCTCTCCAGAGCCTTCCCTTCTCCAGGCTAAACAAGGCCAGCTCTCTCAGCCTGTCTCCATAGCAGAGGTGCTCCAGCCCTCAGAACATCTTCATGGCCTCCTCTGGACTCACTTCAGCAGCTCCATGTCCTTCTTATCTTGATCCTTCCTATAGTGATGCTTGAAGTTTTGTGGCCACTTCTTGAACTAGGCCTCATTAACATGGGGCAACAGTGAGGAACCAAGTGTCCAAATAACAAACTGGGTAGCACAGAGGGATCCAGATGCACAGCTGGGTTCTTACCTTAGTTTAGGTTATTACGTATGGGTTTGGGTTGGGTTTTTTCCTCCATGAGAACAGCATCCATTCCAGTACAGGTACATGGTTCTTACAGAGCTATTGTGTAGGAAATCGGCTAAGAGCATCCTGTAATTAACTGTGAAAGGGAGACTGGCTTTGGAATCCAGGAGCCTTTGCACTTCAGCCCATGAAATGAGTCTGTCTTGTGCGGCCATGAATCATCCTCCAGTCTGAAGCAGAGTAAGTGCAGACAGCATTGCCTTAAGTGGCCAAGCCCAGCTTCTTTTACACAGGACTTGGTGGAAGATCAGTGAAGAGTTTACTGAAGCCTCCTGGATGGAAAACACAAAAAGAAACACCAAAAAACCCTCACCAAAATCCACACACCCCCAAGGTGATTCACATTGACGAGCTGCAGCTCTTTCTCCCTTCATGATGGGAACAGGGTCGATTAAGCAGACACAGCCTTACACAACTGCTCAAAAGATGAAAAAAGTCAAGAAAATGCAATTTGCTCATCATCCCCAGCAGCCTGAGGGCTGTGGCTGATCCCTCACCTGTGGAATACAACCTCGGCTGGGAATGCCCCAAATTCCCTTGCTCTGAATCAGGATGGTGCCAAGGAAGGATTCAGGTCACTGCTGCAGAGCGAATGCTGGTGCTGCATCCCTCATGCTCAGTGACCCATGGCAGCCTCAGGCAGGCAATGGGGCTTTGAGGGTGATGCTTTCAAGCAAGAGCAGCAATGCCGGTGGTGTTCCTCTGCCTGTGCCTGGCTCCTTCACAGCCCATGAGGAAAATAAGCAAGCAGGCATAAAGAAAGCAAGCTGTTAATGGAGGCTGCTCTCTCCTTTCATGGGCAAACAGTGACGACCAGGTTAAAATCCTTTGAAGAAGGAGGAAGAGGGTGCGTCGTGCCCATCTCTGCATTAATTTTAGCCTGTTGCATTTCTCCTGCTCTCCCTTTTTGGGACACCGATGTTCTCTGCCTGCCTGCAATCAGACACAGCCAAGATGTGGCACGTGGGTGCCATGGAGCTCAGGTGCAGCGCAAGCAGTAATAACTTGCCTCAGGCCAGAGCACCAGGGCTCACACCATGATCTCCTTGCTGTAGTCTTGTGCTTTCTGACGTGAAGAGCAGCTCTGCCAGCTTTGATATTTCTCTTGCTTCTATTTATATGCCTTTTCCTCATTGCTTTTAAATTACCTTCTGCCCCTGCCTTGGTAGTGCTGGAGTGATTAGAAATGTGCCTGCTTGGCACGCCTCTCGCTATAAGCACAAGGGCTGTAGAGATGGGGTTCGCTTCCCCATGGCCATGGGCATAAGCCCATCTTTGCCCAGGAGAGCTGCTGGGAGAAGAACCCTGCTGAGGGTGTGGAACTGCTGCTATCTGGGACTTCTCAGATCCTGTCAGGGGCAGCATCAGACCCATGAAAACATCTTTTCACCCAAAGGGCTGTCAAGCACTGGAGCAGGCTGCCCAGGGCAGTGGTGGAATCACCATCCCTAGTGGTATTTAGAAGATGTCTAGACCTGGGGATATGGTTTAGTGGTGACTTTGCACTGCTGGGTTAATCTTAAAGGTCTTTTCCAACCAAAATGATTCAGTGCCGACATTGTTCAGGTCGTCTGAGCCCCTCTGCTTTGGTGCCCAGCCTCGGAGGACCTGGTGGGCATCGCCCTACTTACATAGCTCTGCAGCAAAATAAAACCCAGATCCAC